AGGCTTTTAAAAAAGAAATTGCATTTGGGCTAATTAAATGTTGAGTTTGGTGTAGGAACATTTCATGTGGGATTTGGCAAAATTTCAAGTGATTTTGAGTTGAATTGGTGGGCCAGTTTGGTGGATTTAGACATATGGTCAAAATTGGGTCTTTTTGGATTTGTATGAAACTGGGCTTGCAATTAGATCAAATTGGGCTTGAATTCTATTTATAATAGAATTGGGGATGCCAAATGTTGGTTTGGAATTGAAATTGCGCAAGATTATGGTCAATTGGGCTAAGATTGGGGCTAATTTGGGGACATTTAGGTCTTTAAAGGCAAATTGGGGCTTTTGGTCAAATTAGGTAAATTTGGTCAAATATGGTCAAATTTATGATCAAAAATTGAAATTGGAAATATTTGGGATGATTTTGGAATTTTTGGGAATTTTTGGAATTTTTAGGTCATGAAGGGCATTTTGGTAATTTTAGCAATTTTGGGGGGTATTTTGTAAATTTGGTCAATTTTGATCAATTTAAGTATTGCTGAGGGGTTTGAGATGATTTTTTGACAAATTTGGTTATTTTGGATAATTTTGGGATTTTGGCAAAAATTAGGGTTGTAGGGGTATTTTGGTAATATGGTGGTTTTGGGCTAAAATGGGCCAACAAGCCATGAAGCCATATCAAACCAATAGGATCCATGTGAGGACTCATTTTAGATGCTCAATATGCTGGTTCTAACCCTCTTAGCCAAAGACTAGGTGTATAGGGTCATCCATATGAGCTTTCCAAAAGGCGTCAGGAAATCAAACTAAAGGATCCTAGGGTTAAGGTCTGTGAGAGAGTGTAGTGTGTGCAAGTTAGCCCCACCAAAACCAGATCACCTAGGGTTAGTCCTAAGGTCTGACCACCCTATGAGGGACTCCCCTTGAGCTCCTTCATACTGACCCCACCTACTAAGTGCTAGAGGTCAGGACCAACATGTGAAACTTCAAGTTGAGTAAAGAAGACTTTGAGAATTTCTAATTGTGTGGGTTCCCTTTCTAGTCCTCTAAGAATAGTTAATAAGAAAGTCTTATGGCTAAACCCTAGGCTACTAAAGAGAAAAAACTAGACCTCAACCAAAAATGAGGTCAACATATGTATAATACATTTAGTTCCTATCAAGTAAGGCCTAAATTTACTCATAGCATATACTATTGCCAACAACTCTTTGTCAATAGTAGTGTAATTAATTTGAGTCACATTAAGAGTTTTACTAGTATAAATTATGGCTCTAAATGTCTTATCATGTCTTTGGCCTAACACCGCTCCAATAGCATAGTCATTACATCACACGTTAATTCACAAGGTCTTTTCCAATCAGGTGAAACAATAATAGGTGTTGTGACTAATTTTTCCTTTAAAATTTTAAAAGCATTCAAGCATTCTTGATCAAGGAGTCATTTTGAATTACTCTTATCTTATATAGCCTTCATAAACTCCATCATTGAAACTCTCAACTGAGTGGGATCTAGTGCTCCTCTGTAGCTCGATGAATGGTAGTTTGACGAACTCTAGCCAATTCAGTAGTTTTTTTCAGACTCTCTATCATCATGAGGTAGTTGATTGTCTTCATGTTTGGGGTGTGGGCTATTTTTTCGGTCCCCAAACATCATCTCATGAGGCCCTTTTTTGTGAACAGTAGTCAGATTGTTTAGCCTTTTGGTAGGGCGGGTGAACATACTCTTCCATTGCGATGTGGTGGTCAGCTAAGTCCAAGAGCTCAACTAGCTCGTTGGATTGTCACAAACCTAAAAAATACTTGAATCATTCGCTCCTCATCCCCTGGGTCAAGTCTGCCGCTACTACTGTGGGTTTTAAATTCTACACTTCCAACATTTCTTTTTAGAATTGAGAGATGTATGAATAAAAGTTCATGTTTAGCTCTTTCTTGACGTGTCATAATGTCTTTGAGTTCTTAGGTGGCTATTGGGTGTTAACAAACTACACCGTGCACATTTTCTTGAATTCAACAAAGGAGGTGATAACTCTTATCTGGGCGATCATTAAATAACATGAGGGTCGAAACCTCAACGTGGTGTAGAATAACTGATATTTTAGTGCATCAGAGATATTGAGAAGGCAGACGACCAACTCAAAGAAAGCTATTTGGTTGACTGGATCACTACGACCCTTCTAGAATTCTAAAGATGGGATCTTAAACTTCTCTGGTGGCTCTGGATTCGAGATCTGTTGGGAGAACACATTCTCCAGCTGTTAGTAGACCTCCATTTGCCCAAATTGTGGTTTGATTAATGGTTTATACCCAACAATATGTTGATATAGTGAGTCTTCTATTCTTTTCGTCCCTTAAGCCGCTCGACAGCCTTGGGTTCTTCTCGAGGGTTCTGTTCCTTGGGAGCTTGGGCTCTTCTCTTAACTAGCGTGTGGTGTGGGTCAATTATGTTATTAGACCCATCATATGATCTCAGAGTTTATAAATTCGTTGTTGCACAAATTCTCTTACATACTTCATGTTTAATATTTCTCCCAAGTGAGTTTCTTCTCTGTGGCATGCTCCTCTTTTTGTTGATGGCCTGATTCCACGTTCATAGCACTTTTTTAGGATGTTTAATTCAATATATCTTATAGATCACACCCAAGGTATAAAGCGTTAGATGGAAGAGATGAATAGAGAGAAGCTTAGAAATTTAGAGTAAATAGTGTTCATACAACGCAAGTCTTGAGAGAGTAAATTTAGTATTTCTTTATTGGTGAAATGACCAAATATTTATTGGTTCCTGGTGTATCTCATAAAATTACATATTTGTCCTTATTTTATAGGGCTTGTATAGGGACATTACAAGTCATTATTATATTTTTTTATATTTGTAACTAACTCCGACTCCCTTTAATATTCATAACTGACATCGACATCGTTTCATATTCATAAATGTTTGAAAAGAGGTAATTAATGGCCTGTTAGTCTCAAGTAGAGGCCCTCCTGTAGTTAGGGTTAACTTGGGTCGTCAGACAAATGGTGTGTCATGGTAATATTACTCATAACCGCATGAATCTCGAGGAAATCCAACGGGTCTCTCTTATGAACACCAAAGGATAATGTATGTGGACATTCAAAAGATGGAAACACCAAGTGTCATTTCCCTTAGTTAGAACGAATGAATGGAAGACACCTAATCCAAGAGACAGGTGTAATAATTAAGACACCTAATCCAATGTGTAATAATGTAAATATCACTTTCAGTGATAGATATGTAAATGCATACGAATTTTAAGGAATGTATGTAAATTTCTTAATAAAAAAACTAAATGTATAAATGCATATTCTGCATTATGCATATTCTGCATTTAATATAATTAATCAATTGTTTATATTAAATACATTTTATGTATTAATCATCATACTAAAAATAGTTTCTTAAACTAATTAATATTAAATCACGCCACTTTGGTGCAATTTTAATTATAAATCACATCGACATAACACCATTTTTATGTTCTTCAAATTTTTTTTAAACATGTTATTGCTAGGGGTGTAAACGAACTGAACACAAATGATCAGAGCTTGTGTTCGTGTTCGGTTCATTTGAAATTACGTGTGTTTGAAATTGTTCGTGAAGTTATTGTTCGTGTCCGGTTTGATTTGTTTGAAATATGTTTGAAATGTTTGAATTGTTCGAATCGTTCGAATCGTTCAAAATCTTACAAATTTGTTTGTATTGTTCAAATTGTTTGAAATCTTTCAAAAATTTAAACCTACATGAAATTAATGTTTAGACATTTATGAATCACAACACAAATGCAAAATATTTAAAACATAACTCACAATAAAATCATAATATCATATCTTATCCATAAAAAAAATCAGATCTAGAGTCAATATGCGAGATTTCACTCTCAAAAATTATGTTTCACTCGAAGAAACTAAATAAATCTATAACAAATAAGAAAATTTAAGCTAAGAGACGAACCTGAAGATAAATACTAAATTATAGAATTTAGTATAAGGTAAGAGGCGAACCTAAAAATCAGAAATTTATAAGAACTTATAGGAATTATTTTTTTAAAAGATGATAATTTTTTAGAGTATATAATTATTTTTAAAAATGATAAATTTTTTATATAAAATTATTTTAATTAATTTTATATTTCAAACAATAATGATTCGAACACGACCGAACAAATGATTATTCGTGTATGGTTTGTTTATAAACAGAACAAAAAAAAAATTTGTTCAAATATGATAAATTTTTAGAGTATATAATTATTTTTAGAAATGATAAATTTTTGATATAAAATTATCTTAAATTATTTTATATTTCAAACAATAACGATTTGAACACGACCGAACAAATGACTGTTTCTGTTTGGTTTGTTTATAAACCGAACAAAAAAAAATGGGCTTATCAAACGAATCGAACACGAATTCATCGACGAGCCGAACACGAACTTTTCGCGAATCACGAGCTTTTTTAACAGCCCTAACTATTACTCCTAAATTAAATATTAAATCTTTTGCATTTATTAATTTTGCCAATCTGCACACATATCAATCAAATTTTAAATAGCATATTAAGAAGTGAAATACACATTTTTTTATACAATACTAAAAAATGAAAATGTTATGCAAATTATTATGAAAATTTAAGTAAGTTGTGTAAATACATAAAAATCATGTGCTACTTATGTAAATTGTATTGCTGTTAGCATATTAAGAAGTGAAATACACATTTTTTTATATAATACTAAAAAATCAAAATGTTTTGCATATTATTATGAAAATTTAAGTAACATGTGTAAATACATAAAAATCATGTGGTACTTATGTAAATTGTATTGCTGCAGTTTCAACGCGCTACCAAACACGCGTTAGGCGGCTTTTGGAAGCAGAATAATAAATTTATAGTCCGCCTACCTATTGACCGAACTCGAAGAGGACGGAGACCACTTGCCTGCTCACCTTCCTCTGTTTTTCGTGCTTAGCTTCTCCGCCTCTCGGTTCAGAACCTTCGCCATACAGTCGCCATTAGAGCTAGCTGGGAAGGAAACGACGAGATCGGTTCTTGCAGAGATCGCAGAAACTCACATCTTTCTCATACTTCCGCTCCGCTCCTACTAGAAACCGTTGACGAAGGTAAGCCTGTTCGCGCCATTCTTCTTCTTCGCTTGTCGCGGATTTACTACATCCACCGATTCACGGGATTTAGTAAATCCCGGATTTATCACGAATCGGCATCATTTTGGGATTTGCGGGAGCTCAAGATTTAGGGAGGCCTTTCTTACCGTTTGGCAGGATTTAGTTTAAATCCTGCGTAATCTTCAAAAGATTCTGTAGGATCCTTTTTGCTTTTTGGTAGGATTTAGGTTAATGTCTGCTATCGAACAGCCCGTAATTTTTTATTGTTGTTATCTCTCGAAGAGCACGAAATTGAGAAATAGATACCAGGCATTCAATTCTAGATCCATAATGTAGCTTGCTTCCTCTTAATAGGCTTGCTGAATTGTCTTTTGATGACTTTCACATTGTTGTTACAGTTGGTTTCCCTTTTTCTTACTGATGTATGGATTTCATGTACCCTCTTGTCTTATTGGATCTGAATGAATGTATTTAATTGGTCCTACAGGTTAGAGTTATACCAAGACTACTTTACATAATGGAAGCTGCAAACTTGACACTTCAACAGTTGAAGTTTCCAGGCGTTCATCAGCAAAGATTTAGAACGCATTCATCACTGTAAGTTCTAATTTTGTATTACCAGCAATCCAGTTGTCAATTTTTTTTTTCTAATACATAACTTTCACATTACGTCTATGCCTTTGCCTTAAATTTATACCTCAAATTATTAGAGTTTCAAATTTTTTTATGTAACTCACTTGAATAATTCTTTTTCCTTCCTCTATTTTTTAGTTATTAGGTTTGTTGTGGGCAGAATTAGAATTGCTTCTTATTTCTTTTCAGGTCCTGGAGACGAGAAGATGCATCCTTTTGCAATGTGACACATATATTGTATTATCCAGATAAAAATTCACGGAGTGTTAATAAATCATCTGATTTTTCTTGTCTTTCATGTCATGCTTCAATTAATAAAAATGAGTTTGTGCTAAAGCCTAACAAAAAAGGGTCAATTTTGACGGGAAAATGTATAGAGAATGCATATGGTTCGATAGAAGCAAGCTCCTTTTGTGAAAATAGTCATAGTATTTCTGCAAATAATGTACAAGAAAAGGTTGGAGTGTTGCTGCTGAATCTTGGGGGCCCAGAGACTCTTGATGATGTTCAACCATTTCTGTTCAATCTGTTTGCTGATCCTGTATGTATGATGCTAACCTTTTATTTTGCTTTGTGTTGATGTATAATTTTTAGATTGGAATTTAATTGGAACATTGATTAATAGTTACTGCTAATTTTACTCCTCTTTTATTCACATTTGATTTTCATTCTCTTTGTTATTGCAAAGCTTTAGAAGAATGTTCTAGGATAGAGATACCCCCAACTTGATGAGCATATTTGTTTTCTTTTTCATTTTCTTTTTAATTAGACTACTAACATTCAAGATCAAGGCTAGACTTGGATTACCTCTATTTCATAAGGGGACAATTGGTTGTCATAATAGAACAGACAATATCTTTTCTTTACGACACCCTTTGATGTTATGACAAAGACTAACATTTTAAATTTTACAATGCTTGATATCACCAAGAACCCAAAAAAGGGAAAAAAAATACTACCAGACTTACAGAGATATTCTAACAGAGAATACAAAGGATTTTGACATAATTAACTGAAACAAAAACCTCATAGAAGAATAACGAACTCACCTTTAGTAGAAATTCCTTGTTGTTGATTCTTGATTCATCTCAAAGGCTTGGTCCTTGCAATCATGCAGTAGCTGCACTTATTCTTGTGGTTGCGTACCCTTCTTTGATTTCCTATCCTACTATCCAAAGATACTTGATTGGGAACTTTGTTCTCCTTTCGCAGTTTCTTTGTTGGAATTTTGGTTTCATTGGAATTTCAAACAGTCAAGGAAACCGTACAAGAGGAAAATAAACTAGCAGATTAACTGTTCAAAAAACAAAGCAAATTATAGTAATAGGAAAGGACAACAAAGAACTTGGTACAATTTGTACCTAGGATCCAAAAAATCTAGCCGAGAAAAGGTTTGAAGAACAAAAGAAAAAAAAGAAATTTTTCTTCAACTCTTTCTTGGCTTGACTGTCTAGCTGCCCACCCTTCTGATAAAAGAAACAAAACAATAATTTAAATATTTACATGAAAGCAAAATGATAATAAAGATGCTGGAAAATACAGAATCTGATAGATGGAGGTATGGGCTCAATATATTGATGAGTCTATTCTAAATTCAAGAAATCTGAGAGTAGAGCCTGCTGTTATATCGATTGAGAACTCCAAAGAGATGCGACTGCTATCAAATTAGGCAATAGTTGCATCCTGGACACTTTCTTGACAATGAATTTTCTAGCTCAATTATTGTTTTCACCCCTTTATGCAACTGTCAAGAAACTGGAAGTGTTCCATCTGCCTGATCCCTCAATATCTCTGTTGGACAGCCACTATGTGACCTTCCCGTTCCCCAAACTAGGTAAATTTTTTTCAAAACTCATGATAATTTGAAACAAAACTCAAAAAACAAAAAATACTGTATGAGAATGGGATATACATATGGTAGCCTCCGTTAGTAGCACTTATACATTCATAATTACAAAACTACCCTTACAAATAAATGAAAAGGAAACCAAATTCAATAAGCAAGTGAATTATAAAAAGGTTTCCTTCAAAGATTATGTTACATTTTGCTTCTTGTCAAGCTTGAGTGGACAGTAAGTTAAGTCATTATATGTGTTTGGGATGTGATGAAATACAATTATTAACCATTAGATACGTGCCAAAAATTTTAAAGCATATTTTAAATATGTTTCTTATATGTAATAGTGATATTTTATTTCCTTGCATAGTAGTCTTAGTATATTTTAGGGAAGCAGTCCAAGTCTCAAGTTTTTTAATAGATCTTTAGTCTTCATTTGAAGATTATTGATGATGGATAGAGATTTTAATAAAATTTTTGTAGCATCTCTTGTAGGGACCCCACGTAGTGGGATTAAGGCTTTGTTGTTGTTGTTGTTATATCTCTTGTAGGGATTCCTTCTCTTTTAAGGTTTATATTTCTCTCTTTGTTTATACCCATAGCCTTTTCCTTATTCTTCTAGTTAAATTACTTTTCTCTCTACTTTCTTGATTCTTTTCATGCACTGGTTTCATTTCTCTTGACATTTTTCTTTGTTATCTATTTGGTAGAAGGATGTAAGCATGATCCCTTAGCTTGTAACTTCAAATCAATGTACTGGAAAGGTCCCCTCATGTGACTCCTCTGCTCATACCTTACTTGCTCTTGACCTTACTCACATGAGACCCTTTTTCTTTTTAGCTTTGTTGTGTTTACTCCTTGATTTCTCCCTTTTTGGGCCTCACATAATCTTGTGCCTGCTCTCTTCTCTCATTATCTCACATACTCGGTGCTTATTGATTCCCCTCCCATTATGCCATATCATATGTGCTCACTGTGTTGCCTCTCATCACCCACCCTTACCAATCATCCTCAAATATTATTATTTTTTATGATTTTCGTACCCATCATGCGTCCCTTCATGGATAAATTTCCTGTTCTATAGTCTCTTCTTTTGAAAAAACTTCATCCCATTTGACTCTTTTTAGGATGGATTTCACAAGCGTAGTTGTACAATTGAAGGTTGTGAACTCTCTCTTTAGTACTATTTCAACTTTTTATAGTAGCGTTCGTTTCAGATTATTACAACTCTCAACTCTTATCTTTGTTATCAAAATGTGCAAAGTGATTGTAGATTTTGTTAGTAATTTATTTATTTTTTAACTTAGTTGAAAGTAGCATTTTTTTGCTCTCTCAAGGGCTCGATAATAGAAATTGTTGCAAGCATGTAATTGGGGAACCCAAAAAGGATATGCCGTGATGATGTCTCTCTTTCTATTATGTAGTAATGACAAAGTTCCATAAAGCGCATCAGTTTACTTGCTTGATTTTTCCAGTGGAAGTATTTTAATCATAAGTTTCCATTACTTGATATCCTTTTGAAGCAGCCATCTGCATTAAAAATAATGAATATTTCTTTTTCCTATAGTGCATCACAAAAAAAAGGTTGTTTTAGACATCAAATTGAATTCATTTAGTCTTGTTAACATTGAGTAACATTTCAATTAATTGGTGGTTGTGCTATCAGCGTATTGTAATGACTAATTTCCATAAATTGAGTATCAATTGCTTGATTTTTTTTCCTGGGAAGTATTTTACTTATAACAAGGTTACTATCTATATCAACAATGATGAAGAAGATTATATTTTCAAATGTTCCTGGCAGAAAAAGTGATATTTTGTTCATTAAATTGAATTTATTTATGGGCTATTTGATTTGCTGAAATAAAAATGTAGTTTAGAAGTAATGTATTGTATTTGGAACATTTTGAAGTTCTTGGTTCAGTGTAAAGGTAATGCATGATTTTTTTTTTTTTTTGGTGTCAAGAAAAATGAAAACAATGTAAAATATGTGGCTGGAGGCGATAAAATATGTGGCTGGAGGCGGTAAAATATGTGGCTGGCAAGTGGAGGCGGTGACCATCAACGGACCAATAGAAAGAGGCGATCGTCAGTTGCGAGCAACACTTTACACAAAGCGTTGTATTTGAAATTCGCTCAAATCCAGTGATTTCAAGTACATTGAAATAAACTAGTGAATGGATTCCAAATTCATTGTAATTTTATTCTGCATTTGGAATTCATCCAACCAAATGCCTTGGTTTTTGAAACTGATGCAAAAGGTGCAGTGCACTCTTTTTTGCAGCAACCCAAATATCCCCTTAGTCTTGATAGTATTAACATCATCATCATTATTTGTTTATCCCAACTAATTGGGATTGGCGTTTTCAGTTATTTTTGTCAAATTTTGTCTATGGTTACACATATAAAGGTGTATAACTGAGGGATAGTTATGGAGATGCTGATAAATTTTATTTGATTCTCAAAATTTCTTCTTTGTCATCTTTCATATTATGCCTTTCAATCTTCTTTAAACTTTCCGTATTATTCCTATTTTCCATAGCTCAAGTCCAACTCAAATTTGTAGTTTGAATGGAGTGATTATTAGTTATGAGTGAACATTTGTGTATTCTGTTACTATATTTTTTTTTCTTTTTAATTTACTGAGATTCAACCTTAGATTTCCGCTTTAGGGGTCAAGGGTTGTACTACTCAACTGAATGGTTGGTAGTTAATTACTACTATTTTGGTTCCTTATCGTGAAGAAAAAGGTAACATTGTATCTCAATATTAATACGTGATTGCGCATCAGCTTTGTCCTTGGAAAAAAATAAGCTTTGATGTTATAGAATCACCTAGCAACATCTTATTTTGTCGGTTGTCAGGCATTTCTGTTCTTTCTAAGGATTTATTTCTGCCTTTTCATACTTGATTGATCTTGCCTTTATATTTTTACTATGTCTGCTTTTCTAATCATATTCACCATGAAAAAAGACTTTTCTTTCTTGTATTTGATGGTCAAAGATTATAACAAGTATGCAGTCGCTTGTTTGAGTACTTTGTCGGAAAGAAATCATTCTTCTGTTTTTTCATTTATTTTTATGGGCATTGAACGGTTTTTGGACTGGAGTCTTGTTGGTTTATTGGCTTGATGCTTATTGCTGGTGGTTATGATGCCCATAGTGCTTTTAAATGAGTTTTTTCTTACTTGTTAGTGTCGAAAAAAATGTTATGTTGCATAATCCAATGCAATCACACCAGATTTTATGAAGATATTGCATTTTTTCAAGGAGTTAAAGCAACTGCCATAAATGCCTTCAAGAGATTATTTTATTGGAACAAATAATCAAATTTATTAAGTTTAAGATTTTTCGCGCGGTTACTTTTGTTTTTTTGAAACTATTTTATTTTTGAATATTTATGATATATGAATTGGGAGTCAATGCACCGTTTTGTAAAGAGATAAAATGCATGACGTCAATGAGTAACTTGATATGATCGAAAGCCTAGTATCTGGATGCAAAGGCTGACTGCTTTTGTGGAAGGAGGCTTTTTTTGTTGTTTGCTATTTTGATGGACATTGATCTTTTGTGTATACTTTCAAAGTTTATGCCACTCATTTGCTGTCATGTTCTAAAACTTGGCTGATATTCCTACAAGTAAAGCCGAAAAACATTTAAATGTTAGCAATGTCAGTATTGAGTCGTTCACTTGATATTAAGATGGCAACTATTTGTTTTGTATCTGTTTGATCATAGATAGTTTTTATAAAAGGTTCTTGACGTTTGATGTTTGATTTTAGTGCTTGAAGTCTTTTTGAGTTTTTCTCGCTTTGTATTTAGGATTGAATTTTTTTTTTTAATATGCCACAGGATATAATCAGACTTCCCAGGCTGTTCCGTTTTCTTCAAAAGCCCTTGGCCAAGCTAATCTCAACATTTAGAGCTCCAAAGAGTAAAGAAGCTTATGCTTCTATTGGTGGTGGATCGCCTTTAAGAAAGATTACGGATGAGCAGGTATGAAAGACTTTTATACTGTTAAGTTTTGAATGGAAAAACATTTATTTGTATACCAAAACACTTTCTATGAGTGGGTTCTAAGTCGATGCCACTAATTCTTATTTTGTTAATTTAACATATGGGATCACCTTTTTATGTTTTAATTTTCAAGTTTGTACAAAAGATTCCTACATGATTGTGTTTTTGCTTGATTATTTGGAACATGTTTACGTTCCTAGTTCATTTTGTATCTATATTTTAACCGAAACGAATCACCTATTATATATGTTTGTAAAGATTATTGAGAAGCTGCTTTGATGCTTACTCCAAATTATTGTTCTGTCAGGCACAGGCTCTAAAAATTGCCTTGGAAGACAAAGGTTTGCATGCAAGTGTGTTTGTTGCAATGCGATACTGGCATCCATTTACAGAGGAAGCTATTCAGCAGGTTCTTCATTTTTCTTTTATGGCTTCCAAATAGTTCGACTTATTTTATTTAATACCAGTTTTCAATGAGTTATGTTTTTTATTCATCAAGTGACCAATCAAATTATTTTCCCGATAATCTGTCAGTGTTACTTTTTTGGAGACTTCTTGGTGGTATAAACTTTGGAATCTTGTTGTGGTCGCTAGATCAAAATTGGTAACATGATGGTGTATGGCATTTAGAATTTTTTCGGGGCTTTTTTTGTTTTTTTTTTTTTTTTTTGGGTTGTGTTTGTTATTCATTTTGTTTTTAAAAACATGTTTGTTTAGCATTTTTTTTACACATGTTCATTTTTTGTTTCTAAAAAAAAAATTAATATGTTTTAAAAACACTCTAACCAACTTTTAAGTATTTTGAATGTTCTTAAAAGCCACCATACATTAATCAAATAGTCAAACATGTTTTGTTTTAAATCAAAACATAAACAAAACAAAATAGAAAAAAAGATCACCTCAAACGACCGTGTACATGTAGTTATTGCACCTTCGTTGAAGGAAAATAGCCTTAGGAATTATTTTTAGAGTATCATAGAAAGGGAAGCCTTTGCCAATGACTAGTTGATTTATATAGTATTTCTATGTAACATAATTCGCTTCCTATCCATATTCTATTTAGTTAACTACAAATTGTTTTGCAATTTCATTTTCTTTGAACAATTTTCAAATTAAAATTGTCAGATAAAGCGGGAAAACATTACCAAGCTTGTTATTCTACCATTATATCCTCAGTTCTCCATTTCAACTAGTGGTTCAAGCATCCGTGTTCTTCAAAGTATCTTCAGGTGAAAAATCTATAACTATAGTATCCATTTCTTTATTGACTAAGTCTTTGAAATGCTAAGCTCTGGTGGGTTAATGTTTAGTGTTTACTGATATGTATCACTTGCAGGGAGGATGGTTATTTTACAAGAGTAGCTATCTCTGTAATAGAATCATGGTATCAACGTCAAGGTTATATAAGATCGATAGCTGATTTGATAGAGAAAGAATTGTCAAAATTTTCTAAACCTGATGAGGTATTCTCTTTCAATTAACTCATTTACTTGTCTTTGCATTGAGGTAGAAGAGAGTTGATTTTTGTTAGGACAGTTGTTTAATGTGATCTTAAATCCCACTTAAGTGAAGGGCTTGCTTAGTTTCTTATTTTTATTGAAATACATGGAATGGGAATTAAGTTATGATAATTTGCTATGGAATTACTTGGTTATGGGGTTGAATGTGTCAAGGGAAAATTTTTGAAATATTCCTAATTTTTTCTGTAGGAGCAAGAAAGAAGTTTACCAATCTAATTTCACACCTGATAAAATTTCATTATAATCTTTATGCATTTATCCTTATTAATCATCAGCATCCTTAGCATTATTCTTTATTGATGTGGAATAATAATCTTTATGCATTTATCCTTTCATTATAATCTTTATGTCATTTTGATTTTTGCTTTATGCTTATGCTCCATTCATTTCTATTGAGTATAGTTTGTGGTGTTAAATATGTTCCTACTGCTTCATCTGTTTGTCTTCTAATCCTTTGCTTTTATCTTCTGCCCTCCATTTATATACTCCAACTACTTAAATTCTATTTATTACTACGATAATTTCTTTAGATGCTACTATCATAATCTCTTATATAATCTCTAATCAACCTATTATTTATAATTTTACCTCATATCTGTCTTAATATCCTCATTTACTCGTCATCATTGAGCCAATTATTTTAATTTTTCTTCTCTTATTTTATTGTGTTGTAATTCATATTCTATGCTTAATATCCCCATTTACTCGTCGTCGTCATGTAAATGAGACGTGACTTCTATGATTTGAACCTCTAAGTTCCACGTCAAAATAGAGGCATCCTAACTATTGCTTCAGGCTTTCCTTAGCTTATGACTAATAACCATTTAAAATTTTTAGAGCACATGCTACAGGTTTTGGCTCAAAAAAATGCCATTTTGATGTCCTAAGACTTGTGCTTGTTGCTTGGGCTATATTTGTGTCATCTATAAACATCATTTCATCTTCTCAAAATTTGGTCCTAAGCATAATGATTTGGAGAGGACTTGATTGAAAGAGCTGATCATGCCTGCTTTTGTTAACTTACTTTGATTGTGTGAAATTACTAGTCTTTTTTCCTTTATACTAAGTTGGTCGCTTAAAACCAAATCAAAGTTTTGGACACATAGTTTGATGTTCTATTTATGTTGTGATTGTCATCAGTAATAGCATTATAGGCATAGCCATTGGGCCATTTGATTTTGTCATGAGAAAAATTAGACTTACTAGTTTTTTATAAATATGGCTACATGAATAGTAGAATTAATGCCTAAGAATTAGGAATGAAGCAATGCACCTAGGACTCCATTGATAGAAGTTGTTCAATTGATTTGTGAAGACTAAGTTTAATACCTCAAAAAATACTAAGCATAAATGAATAAAAAAGGGATTTATAATGTTGATCCTATTTTATTGTCAATTAAGCTAATGATGATGTAAATGGTGGTTTTATTATGCATAAGCTTCATGTGAGATACATTAGTTAGGTATCTTCGTTCCTGAACAAGAGATTTCATAGATAGTTTTTTTTTTATTTGTAATACATGAAGACAACAAAAAAGTTCGTATTTTGTGAGACTTCTATATTCCTGCACGTTCAAAGAATTAGTTATTGTTGTATAATGGTTTATATGAGATAATTATTATGTTATAGCTCCATATATCCTCTTGATTTGCCAACTATAATAATCATTGAGGCTAGACGCCTTATTATCTCATGCTCTTAGATGAAGCAATCGTCTATCTTTGGTCATTGTGCTTTCCTAATTATTTATTCATAAAAGGTGAGCCCCATCTAGAGTTTAGTACCCTTGTCCAATGACAAACATTCTAGAAACTTTTAGTTTGTCCAGTTTATTATAATTATTAGTTTTTTTCACTCTGGCCCTTTTTTTAGATAGAATATTTGCAATTTACATATATATGGCCATAAATATTCATGATTTTACTCAATCAGTTTTAATCACCTTCTGTTTACGAGTTTATTTTACTTTTTTTCCTTTCTCCATCATAGCATATCAGAGAATCACCTTTTTCACTTTTCATTTTCAACTATGTTTGTTTGTATTTTTTTCGCTCGCCTTCTTGACTAATTTTGAATTATTTAGTGTTTAATAATGTAGCTATGAGTTTCGTTGTTATTTTTTTTCTTTTTTCTATCATAGCACTTAGCAAAATCTGCCTGTTTCACTTATTCATTTTCAGTTCCAAGTTATATGCATTAAAATTGATGCAGTTATCTCTACTGAGTCTACTCTGTTTTTCTATTTGATTTTGATAAAATTTGCTTAAAATAATGATCCTATTGAGACTAGGTTTGGTTCTCTAAAATATTTAAGGATATGGTATGGTTTCTCAAGTCTTTAGCCATTGTTACTTGGTTTTTCCAACTTTGCTACAGTTAATTTCCCTATTGCACTTGATTACCGATCCTAAGCTTTCAGCATATTGTTTTCTTCTACTTTGAATTTGCCTGCACTGTAGATCAAAATGTTGTTTTGCTACTGTAAGACTGTCATGGATTACTGTCTTCTTATACCTTCTGCTGTAGAATTTCTTGTGTTTCACATGTTTTGCTTCTTTTGTTGTCTTGTTTGACTACTGCTTTTGGTGTGTGTTTCCTTCTATGTGAGTTCTGCAGTGTTGCTTCCCTATGAATTGTTTAATTTAGCTTGATTTTATCGCCAAATTATATGCATTACCACCGGTTGCAGTTAGCCGATTTCCTCCTTCATATGCCTTTCCTCCTTCATATGCCTTTCCATGTGCAGTATGCTGCAGTTGCTCTTTTTCATTTATTTACTTTATAATTTCCTTTTACATGTGTGATTAAGGTTTTGTCAAGTTCATTGTATTTTGAATTTTTTTTCTGTAATGTGTATCTTAAAAGTGCTGTGAGGGTTTTATTTATTCTCAGATTTTTTTGTGAAATTTCATTTTTTATGACTTCTTATTTATTATTTTTTTTGGAATGAATTATGTTTGTTCTTTTATTTTGTATTAATAGTTGCTAACATTACGCAAAGTTAAAAATTATGAATTGTGTTATTTTGTAAGGTTTTGTAAACTAGATCATATATTGAACTGGAATGAGATATCTAGGATTCAAAGATTTGATTAGAATTGAATGGGATAATATAATAAATAATAAAATTATTTAATATGATTTAAATTATATAATAATTATGTAACAATAATATTTTCATGAAATCAATATACAATATTTTAAATCCAAGCATTTCACCATGAAATATTTTGAATATGTTTCTAGATAAAACCTTTGGGGCATAATAGTTTGGTCATGTTTTTTGTATATGGTCATATGTTCATGCAAATGCTTGGAAAAATTTCTGGAGTACTTAGTACTAGATTTGAACAATAATAACATTAAAATTAGGATAAATTTCACTAGTCACTCTTTTTATTTTGTAAGTCTTTCAGCTTTAAATTAAGGCATATGAATTTAACTAATTTATTTATTTAATCTAAATAATTTATTTTTATCAATTTGATTAAAATTAAAAAAACTATAAATTGGCCGATATTAAAATCAGGTAGTCCGGCAAAAGCAAAACAGGTTCACCAATTTTCTGGTTGAATCATCATCTCTACCTGGCTTTGTGTGAAATCGGTTTTAGAACTAAATTGAATCGGCCGGAGAACCAATTCAAAGTTGAATCAGTTGAAAATTGATCCCTTAACCTAGAGACACCCTACAATAAAGTGTAGAATATAATGGAGCTCAAACATCTTTTCTATGTTATTGTTCTTGCATTTTGTTTCAGATATATTTTCTACAATAAAATTGGAGTGTGAATAAAATATGACATTAAGATTTTATTTGCTAACTTTTTTTTTTCTGTTTTGAAGTTTGGAACTAATTTTAGAAAAGGAACATCTGGTGTATTTGCCTCAAGCTATTCTTTCACCCTACCTCATTAATTTTGCCTTTTAGAAGGCATCTTACTTTGTTTGTTTATTTGGTACATGCTATTCTACTTAAAATTTGAAATGGAAATTCTTTGTTTCTTATAAATTTGACCACTTTAATGTACAACGATAGGTCATGATATTCTTCAGCGCACATGGAGTTCCACTTAGCTATGTTGAGGATGCTGGAGATCCTTACAGAGATCAGATGGAGGATTGTATTAGTTTGATCATGGATGAGTTGAAGTCAAGAAGAGTCATGAATAGCCACACTCTGGCCTATCAGGTGCATTTTGCCTTTCTTTTCATTTTTTTTTTCTTAAGTTTTTTTTTTTTTTTAAAACATGTTTGTTTGCTGTATGTTTTGAATTTTTTTTTAGTTTAAAAATAAATCAATTTATTTTTAAAATATACTCAGAATAATTTTTAGAAGTTTAGAGTGTTTTAAAAATAACTAAATATATTTTCAACTTACCTAACATATTTTATCTTAAATAAATATAAACAAAATAAAATATTAAAATAATTAAAAATGATCCCAGTTGACCCCTTAGCTGCTAATTAGTTTTCCTTTTTTCTGCTTCAGAATCATCTGTAATTTGCCTGATCTCGTTAATTTTCTACGTATTTTCAGAGCCGAGTTGGGCCTGTGCAGTGGCTGAAACCTTATACTGATGAAGTTATAGTCGAGCTTGGCCAGAAAGGGGTTAGAAGTCTTCTCACTGTTCCAATAAGGTAGTTAATTTCATTTACCATCAAGAAACTTCTTTGAACTATCTATCAAGGTTCCTGAATTTTGCTCTAATCTTTTTATCCAAGTGAAAAAAAAAGGAATTTTCCTCACAATTTTCATGCATCTGACACCCAAAGTTTGATATTTACATTTATACCACGTCAGTGTCATAAATTTTCACTTTCAAAAAGTATGCAATTCTGTTTTTTTTTTTTTTTGAATGTAATATAAAACATTTTTTTTTTTTTTTTTTTTTTTTTTTTTTTGAATGTAATATAAAACATTCAGAGTGTTCTGCATATAAATATGAAAGCTTAGGTGTCCGATATGTAAATGCATAAGAGTTTTATACGTAAATGCCCCACAAAAAAATGTCTGTTTTCTTAAAAAGGCTACAAATTTCTTTATTTTTTTTCTTCCAGGAGAACTAACTATAATTAACTTACTCAATTTTCAAGAACATACCAGATTTTGACAATCCTGAAACAAGACAGGTAGAATTCATGAAGACACCTCCTAGTCTAACATTTAATTCCACTTTCTCAAATTATTACTTTTATTTTGGGGCATATACATGCATATAGATTCGACTTGTGTTAAGAAAGGCAGAGGTAGATCTAGCAGACTTGGGCTTATTGTATTAAAAATGATCTTAATTTATTAATTTACTAGAACTAAATGATTTACTAGAACTAAATGAAAATACGACTCTACATAGGACGCAATGGAGAAAAAGGATTCATGTAGCTGACCCATTAAGAATTTGTTGTTGTTGTTGTTGTTGCATATACATGCATATCACCCAATCCCTATGTATTACATATCTAAAACATAAATTTTACTTTGTGCATTTATACCACTCAAATCTTTCACATTCCATCAGAATACCGCCGTTTTTAACTTTTAAGAAGTGAAAAACATCTTTTCATGCACGGATTTAAATGCACGGATAACCTTAGCTAACTAAAAATTCAAGTTTAGGTATTAGATATGTAAATACATAGGAATTGAGTGGCATGTCTATTTTTTCTACTATTTTCCTTAATAGTTATGGATCTAATTCTGACATATCTCCCTCTGAATCCAGCTTTGTTAGCGAGCACATAGAAACTTTGGAAGAAATTGACATGGAGTACAAGAACTTGGCTCTAGAATCTGGCATCACAAACTGGGGTAGGGTCCCCGCTTTGGGCTGCACTTCTTCCTTCATTTCAGATCTAGCTGATGCCGTCATTGAAGCCATCCCTTCTGCCACTACCATCTCAGCTCAAAGAAACTACGCTCATCACGATGACAGAGACGCCATGAACTATATCCTTAGCTTCTTTTTCGGATCATTTTTCGCATTTTTCTTATTGTTGTCGCCTCGAGTGTTCTCTTTGTTTAAGAGCACATTCCATTAATATCATGCAGCTTGTTTGGCTTAGAGGTTGAGTGCTTTATTTCTGAGCATAAGGTCCAGCACACACAGATGAGTGCATGAGTTATAGAAAAACAAAATTTATATGACAACATTTTGTATTAATGTGCCTATGTGCCTATTTTTTGAATTGGATTGAGGCTGATGGGGCAAAATTATACTTCATCAATACGAAGTATATGATACTTTATGTATGAATATCATCATCATCATAAACATTGATTCTTCCTGATGATGGACAAATTATACGAGAATTTTGTACACTAACATTATAAATGTACATGGTTATATCTTGATGTATCATTTTTGGATAAAGTTTATTATTATTTATTCATGTTATAGGACATTTTCATAAAATAATTACAAGTTCAAGGATTTTGTATTTGTCATTGTGATTTAGAATGAAAATATGATGTTTATCTGAAAGCTTGACCCAAAGTCAACTGGAAGCTGAAATAATTATCTGCTGCGCTATTAGCAAATAACAACCAATAAAAATAAAATAAATAATTCAAAACTAATTAATGATGATGAATAAATAGAAATTTAATTGATCTTCATCAATATTTTTATCGTTGCCACAACAAATTCCAAAATTGTAAAACAACATAGTATTATATTTCAAGATTTTTAAACTAATGGGAGTCAAACACATAAAAAGATTGGTGAAATAAATTTTGAACCCTTCATATCAAACGCATTCAATCGTGCCATGAACCCTATTTTGCGTTCACCAATTTGTCGTATGAGTATATCAAGCCCTACCATTTCCCATCAGTGATAAGAACAGTGTTCAAACTATTGTTTGGGTAAGCTGCAGCTTATTGAATAATCTACTGATAAGCTGATTAAAAATAATCTGCTGATAAACTAGGTGCGGTGACTATTAAAAATTTTTATTTTTTTTTAGAACAGTTATACCGTTGCCAGAAAGCTGTTAACGCATCTAGATAGGTGTGTGTCAACGCATCTAGATAGGTGTGTGAAAACACTGCTTTTATCGTTTTGAAAACGCATAAGTTGTCAAAATGCAGTTTACCCAAACAATTCAAGTGTGTTTTCAAAACGCCACCATACCAAATAAGCTGCCCCAAACGTACCCTTAAAATGCTAAAGCAGCGTTTTCACACCGCACCTACTTAGGTGCGGTGGCAGCTTTCTGACAACGGTCTGGTTTTTCTGAAAAAATAAAAAAATTTTAATAGTCACCGCACCTAACTTATCACCAAATTATTTTTAATCAGCTTATCAGTAAATTATTCAATAAGTTGCGGCTAATACGACTCTTTTGAAACAATGTTCAAATTGTATTTGAATTTGAAAAGGACTTGTGACCCTAATAATTAATCTACAAATAAAAAGTTAATTATTCTTTATTTGGGTCATCTTGACTAAGAAAAACTGTCATGAAGATTTGAAGGTTACAATGTCAATTTTTTTAAGGAAAGAATGATGAAAAAAATTCAAATACTATGAAGATTACACTACAATTTTTTTGACCAACTATCCAAAATAAAGTTAATATATAGTATTAATTTTATGCTACATTGGAGTTTAGGGGCATCTACATACATGAAGATTACCTTTTGGCGTGAAAGCTTCCATTAAAGTTTAGGGCATCTACATACATACCACCCAATTCTTATGTATTTAGATATCTAACATCTAAAATTTAGTTTTTAGATTTATACCAGTTAAATCTTTCATATCACATTAAAAATATCAGCATCTAACTTTTATACAAGGAATGTGACATGCATGCAAAAATTAAAGTTTTGGTTTTATTTATGTAAATACATTAAGAATTGAGTTCATATATGTAAATACATAGAAAATTCCACTATTTTAATTTTTAAGAAGTGAAATACATTTTCCACGCAAAAATAAGGTAACACACATATTAAAATTGAAGTTCAGGTGTTACATATGTTCCATACATAAGAATTGAGTGGTATGTATGTCAGTCATCATAAAGAATAAACATATATTATTATATGCTTATTATTTATAAGTTGGTTTTGTTATATGTTCATTTACAAATTTAAACTTCTTAATTATTATCTCTCAGTTTTAACAAAATTTGAGATTCATTATAGTCCTGAATACAGACAGAATCCACATCATACTTATTAAATTCTCAGTTTCGGCTCCTCAAGTTCATGAGGCTATTCATAGCCCATTTTGTTAGTGCACAAAAGTCATGGAAGATGTCTAGGGCTCTCCTACTGATCAAACATAAAGAAGGAGAGACCCCTCGGTCGCACATCGATATATTGTAGTGGAAAATGCTGGAGATTCAAAATCTTGAACCTCTGATCACGCAAGTCACCCTGACAAAGGGAGTAAGGAGAGAGCATTTCAAGTATATCATTGGCCTGCCAATATTGATTATTGAACTATTGGAGATGGCCAATCATCATATTGTCGCTAAGGAGTTCATCCTTAACAATTGAGAGGAGGTTAGGAAGGTTGTCCCTGATGCTCAATCTCAGAAGAGAGCATTGATGGAGGACGGTTGGAGGGCGAAATATGGCCTCCGTCCTCCTACTCACCCACATTATGAAAGCGATGAGCACCACGACAACAAAGGGAGTTAGAAGAGCGACTGTTGAGAAAGACGGTCTCAATACCCTAGTCAACAGCCGACCCACCCTAACAAGCGACAGACGACTCAAGCGAAACAGCTCAAAATGATTCCCCTTAGAATTTTAATGGCCAAATTGGTGGATGCCATCCAAGATAAAGATTACTTCAAGAAAAGTCAGCCAATGAGGGTCAGAAGCTGGGCCCAAAACAAGAACAAATACACCTACTACAAAGACCAGAACCACAACACAAAAGAGTGCAAACACCTCAGAAGCTTGGTCGAAGATTTGATTAAGGCTAGGAAGCTAAAAAAATTTGTGATTATCAAAGTGATCGCCCACAGATAAGAGAAGGCCCCAACTGACATGGTGAATGATGAGCCCATCCAAACCAATGCCATTTAGATCACTGTCGATACTCAAGGGAGGCAAAAAGTCCAAGGCATGACCTAACATGATGTCATTGAGAGAACATTTGGTGTTTGGAAGAAGAAATGAGTTATACTACGCGATATGACATCTTACCTGTTTCCCAAACAAGTTTAGATTGTGATTGTCACAATGACTCTCTACAATTATATTCAATAACATCCTTTCTGTAATGATATCGAATTCTGCAGAGTGAACGAGAATCACAAGCATATCTCTGCCGAGGCAAATAAGTACCATCTTGGATAGTCTTTGTCACAGGCTAAAAATGATGTTCCAGAGACCTACATTAAAAACGGGGAAGGTGCAAGTGAGATGACATCGTTGAGAGAACGAATTATGAATGCAATTGTTGGAGAATGATTGTAGTTTTTATATATTTTTAATTGTATTGGTTGTTGAAGAGATTCACTATTTTTTATATTTGAATTTTATATAGTTTATGTTTTTTGTACATTTTGTATTTAATATTGATTGTATTGTTTTTTTTACATTGTTTGTAAGTGTTTTTTCCTTTTGCATTTCTTTTGTTTTTCTTTTGATGGGTTTTGGAGGTTTATGATTAGACATTTGACCTTATGGGGTTCTTCTGATGGTCTATTTGTCGCTTTCGGCAGGTGTCACATGTGAAATCTTAATGAAAACAACCAAGTTCATCTCTTCTTTTCTGTGATATGATTTTTGAGGTTCTTCTGGATTGCCTTATTTGGTGATATGCATTTGTAAAGCACACAGAATTGATATTACGTCGGTTAAAGGTAACTAAGAACATTTTTTTAATAAGGTATGTTGTATTCTCGTTGTTACAGATTCGTTGATTGATATACTGAGTTATTTGAAATCTCATAACAACATAAAATTATAATTAATTACTTATGTTATCAATTTTTATTTGTGTTATGTCTAATGAGATGTCTTTTAAAACATCTAGGAAAGATGAGTTCGAGAATTTATGGTACCTCCTGAGGATTGCACTGCTATTGTGGACTTCAAAGTTTTCTGCTAACTTCACGTCAGCTACATAGCTATGCAAGATAGTTTTACAGGTGTCTGCAAAGAATCACTGAAAAACTGTGACTTTTTTGGTGGGCATATAGGCTGAAAGTTTTCATCGTCGAGAGTGATCAACATGAAGAGTATCCCTGGAGGACAACTTAACTTGTGAAATACGTTGTTTTTATTTTAAAAATAATATTATCATATTATTAATTATTATTTTAATCGTCATTTCTTAATTTTAATAATCATGATACTCACTGCTAAGTGAGGTGTCTTATCTTTTTATGTAATATTCTACACTAGTTTTTTGATTCTAAAGTATAAAATGTATTGATATAATAGTTCTGTTACAAACAACATTACTATATAGAGGAAGAATAATCATTTGTTCAGAAACAACAACATAGTTATTTTCAAACTGTAAATAATAAATAGACGATCGATTTATCCGCATCAGCTTGTTATTAAGCTACAGCTGCCCAAACAGCCTAACCTATTCCCCTTAGCTGCAATATCGTATGCACAAGGATGTGTTCCTATACAATATTACTATAATACCCTTACTATCTAAAGCATCTACTATGTGTATAAATTGCCAACTAGATAACGCATTAGTATTACTGAATATAAGAATTACTCTGAATCTTTTCTATAGTTCTACCTATCTGCTCTGTTTCTTCTGTTTTATACATCAGCACTTCTCAAATCATTCATGGTATCAGAGCTTTAACCCTACCACACCCATGGAAGATTCAAACTCATCGGCGAAAACCAAGCAGCCATGAAGATCCAGACGCTGCCGATGCCTTCTTCCCTGAAATTCCTAGTTTCCGATATCCGATCAGTGGTAAATACATCACTATCTACCGATACTTATCCTCTGTAGAAGTCGCAAATGTCGAAGGTAATCAACGCAAATGGATTCGGTGGGTTCCTTGATGGAATTGTACCAAAACCTCCAATTCTCCTCACCGATAGCGCAGATAACCCTTTCCCCAATCCAGACAACCACACATGGAATCACATTGATCAGAATCTTGCCGCTGCTATCCTATCCATGGTCTCTGCCGCAGTGC